AGGCAGAGTTTTTGATGCTGTCCATTGTGCACGCTGTAGAGTACCTTGGCATATTGAAGGTATGCACATAATTTGTATTTCTTCAGATAGGTTTAAGCTCATCCAAACTTTTGATTTTTGTTGGCTGCATTTTCTGATTTGCTCCATCTGCCAATCTCTTTCTGATGTTCAAAACATCATAGCATCCGATTGCAAATGTTTGCTTGCTATATGGTGACTAATGAAAAGATTCAGTGCCTGTTGAAACAATCTTAATTGAGATTTCTTGGTTTTAATTAACAAAATAAAGAAAGCAGTATAGAATATAAATTTGTTTTATCTTAGCAATTGACATATGCAGGTGGTAAACTTCTTCTGGAGCTGAATCGCGTGTTGCGACCTGGTGGTTTCTTTGTGTGGTCAGCCACTCCTGTTTATCAGAAACTAGCTGAAGATGTTGAAATTTGGCAAGGTGGGTGATTTTTTAACCAAATATGCACTAATTTTTGAGAGAGTTCATTGATTCTAACAAATTGTGTTTTTCATGGAATTATTTGCAGCCATGACTGAACTAACAAAAGCTATGTGCTGGGAACTTGTGTCTATTAACAAGGATAAACTTAATGGAGTTGGTGTAGCTACGTACAGGAAGCCTGCTTCCAATGAATGCTATGAGAAAAGATCAAAACAAGAGCCTCCACTTTGTGAAGCATCTGATGATCCTAATGCAGCCTGGTAATTTTACTCTTAAGCCAGCAGACATTTTTAAGTAATAATCCATGTCTCACTGCTAAAAACTCCCTGTGGATATGTGCCTTTTTAAAAATTGGACCATGCATGTGTATCTTATGAAATCTATGTTCTTTTACATTTTTGTGCACCCACAAAAAAAGAAGAGAAGTTGCATGTGAATTTGGAAAATGGAACATCACTGAATTTGAAAGAAGGTGCTGTGATTTTTCTTAGATATAATTTTCATTATTAGAAATAGCAAGCATGCATTACAAGGTGCATGACTTCTATAACTTTGTTTTATTCCCGTGCTTAGGAATGTGCCATTGCAAGCATGTATGCATAAGGTGCCTGTAGGTTCACTGGAACGTGGGTCTCAATGGCCAGAGCAATGGCCCGCAAGGTTGGATAAAGCGCCCTATTGGATGTTGAGTTCCCAAGTAGGAGTTTATGGTAAACCCGCACCAGAAGATTTCACTGCAGATTATGAGCACTGGAAGCGGGTGGTCTCGAATTCATATCTAAATGGAATTGGATTAAACTGGTCATCTGTGAGAAATGCCATGGACATGAGATCTGTTTATGGAGGGTAAGCACGGCTTTTGTTGTTTCTTGTAGAAAGTGTTTAATGATTTACTCTCCTTTTTATTTCAATGGGAAATACATAGTTAACTTGTTTTTTTTTTTTTTTAATCTTTCTTGCCACACTTTGTAATGTATACCTTTGTTTTGCTGGCATGGAGAATAATCTACTTCTTCTTGTATACCTCTGAGCAGGGTTTGGTTCTTTTGTGAAATCATATAATAAAATGAAAATATTGTCTCTTTCCCCTGGTTTGATATTATTGTTGTGTTGG